AACAAACACAAATCTCTCTCTCATCAGTACCAGCGCCATCATCTTTTCCAAATCAATCTTATCCCTTGAAGAAACATTCTTCGTCAAAACAACACAATCAACAACATCAAGGTTTTAGGCTCCTGCAACGGCCTTCTCTACATCTGCAACATCCCCGAAAATGTTTCTCTCTGGAATACGTCAATCCGCAAGAATTGGATTAGTCCATCGGAACCGCTCATCCAGAAAGAAATGAAGGAAAACACTGCGATAACTACTTTATTGGCTGCTCGTGTTTACAGATTCAGTTACGATTCGTTCTTCGACAAGTTTAAATTGGTTAGCATTTCGTATTTTGTCAATCTTCATAACCGTAGTTTCGAGTCGCATGTTAAGATTTATACTATGAGGACTGATGTTTGGAAAACCCTGACGAGTATGAATTATGCCCTATGTTGTGCTAGAACCATGGGGGTTTATATTTTTGGTGCATTGTATTGGGTTGTGACTCGATATCTTGAACCGAAGTCACTGGATTTGATTGTTGCGTTTGATTTAAGGTTTAAGGTTTTTCGGGAAGTGAAGCTTTCGGGGTGTGTGGATGGGAAATTGGATATGGACGTGGCGGTGTTGAGAGGAATGCTTTGCATGGTTGAGAATAGAGTGAGAATGGAGTAGAACATTTGAACTGTTTTGACAAACTGTTTTGATGTCTTTTTTCATACAATTTAAATTGCCATTGTGATGCAATTTTGGGTTGTTATGATGCAGGGCAGCAGTGTGTAGACTAGTTTATAGCAGTTTTCTGGCAGCATTTGGACCATTGCAGGTTGCTGATTTTTGGACTGGTTTGTAGCATTTTTTGGGCAGAATTTGGACTGTTTTAAGTTGTTGTTTTGGACAGCAAAATACCACAAAAAATGGATTGTTATTGTTGAAACAAGGCTGGGAAATATGGGCATCATGTTTGAAGCATGAAGCTTTAGGACATTAGAATTTTAATCTTTATTTTTATGTACAAACTTGTAATTCCTCTTGTATCTTTGTAGTGATAATTCCAAATAAAATTGTAACATGAATGGAAACTTATCTTGAATATAATTTCTCAATTCCTTTGTAATTGTAAATATTTTGAATCTTTATTTGTCTTGATGAGATTCAAATTCTTCCACTTGAATTTGGAAAAGAATTGATTGATACTTGAATGAATTTTTGAATGATGAATAAACAATGATGCAAGCCTTAAGACCTCAATCTTGCATCTTGTATTAGAGATCCAAATGAATTACATGAATTGATCTTGTAACCATCATGTATTTGTTCTTGTGAGGAATGATTATTTGAATCAAGTTTCTTTTTCCAATATCGTCTTTAATAAATGCCTCATGTGAATTCAAATGGCCATGGTGTGAATCCATCAAAATAATCACACAAAAATAATCTTGAATAAATGCAATATGAGGAATAATTTGAATTTTGAATGAGCCTTTTTTGATAACTTCTATTTAGTTAACACTTGAATTCACATGATAAAAATTCCAAGTATTCTAAATAAATTCTTCCAAAACGATCTTGAATTTAATCACCCCACTCTAACAAAATTCAACTCGCGTCATTTAAGCATAAGAAATCGAACCATACTTAAAAGCTTCAAATGATCACTAGAAGAGAGATTTCAGGAGAAATGTTATCGCATTGAGAAGTTGGCACAGTGAACTGAACTTAGAGATCCAGAAACTCGTAAATCATGACAAACTTCGCATAAAGTTCTCTCATGGCTTTCTAAACACAATTCGCCTTCAACTTTTAAAGAAAACTTGTAGATAACTTTCGGTCGAAGTGTTTGGAATTGACTTGCATAGCCTGATCTTTTCTTGTATTTCAAGGCAAGGTGAAACACACGTGAACCAATGATCATGGAACCTTGACTGTTCTTTTGAAGAATTTCGTAGGAGCTTGAGGCCACTTGTTGAAACATGGGGTGGAAATGAGCACATGATTCTCTTGATGAATCAATCTTCAAAAATCAATGATCAACTGTACTTATGGCTTGAGAGACTCAAAACCCTAATTGAGGTGTGACGCCTGATGCTCTTGATTTAGACCTGTTTCTGCATATGAAATCAAATAAATAAAAAACATACACTTCGTGCTTGATTAGAAGTTAGTCATGCATAAGATAAAATGCTCACAACACTCAATAATCTCTGCACAGGCAATGCTCGAAGCTGAGAAGTTCGAAATCGACCATATTTCGTGACCTTGATGTACATATAAAAATGCAAATGAATATGGGATTCTTAGGTAAAAAATTTGGGTATGACAATCATTAATCAAGTTGGGCTTAACTTTCACACCCCCGCTTTACTACTTCCAACCAATAAAATAGACCCAACACAATTATTTCATTAATTCTAACATTATTACTACTATTAATCAACTATTTAATTAATTAATAATAATCTAACAACATATACCAACAATTCTCAACATCTCACAACATCTCGGCAAATAATCCAAAAATTATTTAATTAAATAATTAATTAAATTAACGGGTGTTACAGTTTGTATCAGTCTGGTGTATTCTTTCCGTGTGATGTTAAGCATAGATCTTTTATCTCGACGTGTGTTAGGATATTGTTATCTGTATATAATTGATAAAATAGCAAGTGTAATATTTTGCCTCTTGTAATAATAGGGAAACTTCCCCGAATGTCGATCTCAAGGACTACACAGAAGTACCGAGTTCAATTCATGGTTCAATTAAAAAGTTTGGGGTTTTCGTTTGGAAATTGTCACTTAACAGTAATTAAGCAGATAAGGAGAATGTAAATTATGGTTTTTCACAAGTATGAGTAACATGCTAGGGTGTGGTGTGTAATTTGCCCTGTAATAACCTCGAATCCTGATTTCTTCAACAAGTTCATAATACCAATTACCATCCTTTTAGGTTATTTTCCCCTAAGTCCTTAGTGATAAAACCTTTGAACATTCATCCTAAACCATAAGTCCTTAGAGAGTTATGATGAAATCAAGCCTTTGTTTTATCAAGAGTTAACCGGTAACTATAGTATATCCCTAGTCCTAGGTGATATCTACTATAGTCTAATCGTAAAAAAACCTTAACAACCGCGGTCCAACTGGTTGTTAACTGTAAATCAATCCTAATTGGTTCGATCAGGAAATCATAAAAACATTGCACGATTAAATTGAATGATAAAAACTATGGAATTAATAAAATCAGAAATTTAAAGTCATTACATAGTCAAATCAAGGACACCCCCTAGCATTGGGGGGTAGCTACTCATATTGTTCAAAGTAACTTCAATAACAATAACGATAGACATTACAAAATGATGTTGAACTGTGATCTTCAATTGCTTCCACTCATGAAAGGTCTCCGTTCTCAAAAACTTGCATAGGCTTCAATCTTCAATCGTCTGAATTTTTTGTATGGCCAAAAAGTCCTTTAATTCATCGTGGAAACTCGTTTAAATACCAAAATCTCACTTAGGTCGGTTGGAAGTATCCAAAACACCCCTGCAGATCAAGATTCGGGTAAAAATCATGAAAATATAAAAACCAGTGTCGCTGGCCAACACGGGCCGTGTTAGGCAACACGGGTGTCCGTGGTGGCCCTTGAAATTGGAAAACTATTTCTCAAGTCCCAGGAGTAGCAACACGGCCACGCGTGTTGCACCCCTGATTCTTCCTCATTCTCGCTCTGCTTCAGGTATTGCAACATGGGTCGTGTCCTGTGACACGCACGCCCGTGTTGCTAGGCTGGACTTCCAATTTGACTTTCTCTGAAACTCTGAGTTTTTATATTTTTTTGTCCTGAATTGTCCTATTTTATTCCTCTGACCCTAAAAACACTAAAACACGCAGTCAAAGCATAAAATGTAGTAAAATGAAATAAAACACTTGGCAATAAAAGAAAAGATAACTGCAATTAACGATAAATAACTGTGTAAGTACCACTGATCAAACTCCCCTAAACTTTAATTGTAGCTTGACCTCAAACGACTATTACCAGAACTCATGAAAATCACAGCAGTCTGGTACTCATACGTGAGACATCCGTTCAAATTCATCAAAAAGGTCTGATTGAACTGGATGCGATGATTACAAGATTAGCCGAAGATATTATAAGGATGTTGCAACGTCCTAAATCACCCGTTATAATGACATGTAATGTTAAATTTATGTTAAGGTTAACAATTATCTATGTAATGTTTATTTTGATGTTAGTGTATATTGTTTTTCCATTCTCTTATTGTTTCTGGTTGTTTCTGATTTGAACTAACATAGAATATTTTGGAGATGTATCTCTGAAAAATTCAATGAATAATAAATTAAAAAATATTGCGGAGATGCATCTTCAAATTAACTTTTTATACATATATAGATATTTTTCCAAACTAAAATTTAACCAAATAAGAGTTTCTTTAACAATTTTATATAAGTTCTATGTGAAAAAAGTATGACTAAACAGTTGTGAATTTTAAAGATGGTGGTGAAGAACATATAAGGTTGAAAAAGTAACCCTCATAAAACTATAATAACCAAAAGTCGGAAGAGTATTAACACAATTATTTCATTTTTATTATGAGACACTTTAAAATGAAAATTTATAATTAAATAAAGGTAGATCATCTGTTTATATATGAGATACTTTAAAATGAAAATTTCTAATTAAATTAAGATAGATCATCTGATTCGAAACGTTCAATACATTTTTTTGGATTAGAAAAAACTTAATAAAGAATGACTTCCTAGTTAAAAGTTAAACTAACATTTGTCATGAGTAAACAAATTTCAATGAGTAATTTCAATAGATAAAATTGTAATCATCAATTCAATATAGAGTTGAAGACGACAAAGTTATTATAAAATTTCTCGTAAAAGAATTTGTAAAATCTTTATATATGTTTAATCACAAGTGGAGATACTACGTGATTCTCTAAATTCACCATTAGTGTTACAGTTAAATCAATACACGAGCGGAGAAATTTTGTTAATTAGAGTGATTTTAGAAGTAACTGGACCATAATAAGCGACACACAAAAATTGATAATTTTGATCGCAAACGCCATCTTAGATCTTCCCTCAACCGCCCCATCGTTTGCTTCCTCTAACATAATTTCATAACATGAGCTGACTGTAAATGTTTTCTCCATTCCGCACGCCCACAAAAATGCATCAGAAACCTGACGCCTTGGAGCAATTTCTGCCAAGATCAATAACAGTTCATTCCTTTCTTCTTCAGCTTCCACACTCCAGCCATCAGCATCCCCCCAGCTCCCAAACGCAGTCCTCAACCTCCCACATAGCCACTGCCTGCACTCTGCAATTTTCAGTCCCAACTTGCAAAAGCATATTTGGGAATAATATCTTTAACGGCCTATGCTTAATCCATCTCATACTCCAAAAAGGTATGTTTTCACCATCTGATAAGTGTGGTTTATATCGTTTTATAGTTGTGTTTTAGTCGCATTTTCATTGTATTTTGTTTATGTTTCTTCCCTTTTTCTACATTTTATGTCTTGGTATTATGTTTTTGTCATTTTCAAGCCTTTGTGATCATACCGGAAGGAAAGGAGATAAAATCAAACGAAAGACGAAGAAAAATGCAAAAGCTGAAAATCTCCAATACTAAAACCAGAGCTCCATTATGAGTGCCTGTAACGTGTGTTACGGCCCGTAATGGATCCCAGTCTGAAGGCCCTTGTTTTCACACCCCAGCACAAATTTTCGTGGCCTGTTACAGATGCCCGTAATGCATGATACAGCCTGTAACAGAAGTGCAGCCGACGCTTCCTTTCCCGTGCCCAATACAAAGACCCATGGCCGATTACAAGTGGTCGTAACGCGTGTTACGACCCGTAATCAGCGTGCGAAAATTCCATATTTTCTTTTCTTTTTCAGCTTGATTGTGAGGTTTTGGGAGTTCTGGCATTTGAAGATTTGATTTGATTTTTACTTAATGTCAAATATCTTTTTATTTAGGGCTATTTTTCTCTATTTAAGCAAAATAATATTGCAAGGATTGGCATCCAGCTTTTTTCATAGAATTCTCTCTGCATTTTTTATAAAGTTTTGCAAAAGTCCCCATTGGAGAAGTTGGATAAAGAATTCTCAATATAATTCAGTATTTTATTTTTATCAAGTTATTTTTATTGCTTTCTTATTATTTAATTTAATTTTATCATGTTTACTATTATCTCTGAATTGTTTGCTTATTTTTCTTACCATGAGTGATTAGTTCTATAAGGATGAAGGGTCATGGGACCTAACTCTTAATAATCCATGTATCTAATTTATCGGTTATGAGAATTCGAACGCCTTTATTTTATAAACTTGAGTCTTTATAATTTACCCTTGTTACGAAAGTAAAAGAGTTCTCAAGTATCGATAATGATCTGAAAAGACTTATATCGATACCCGATAACAGGTTTTTAAACAATTAAGTTCGATGATGCGAAAGTACTCGGACAAGGTTGAGAAAGGTTCCATTTTTATAGCTATGCAAAAGTAACAATCTTTGATAAATAACTCTGCGCGAGCGAAAGGCAACGAGCGTCTTATTTATCAAAGATAATATAACACGCTGGCGAAAGCAAGTGTTTTCTATATTTATCTATTTTCTATAAATCGCGAAAGAATTCTCATAACAAAAGTAATTTAATTACATGGAATTTTTAGAGTAAGAGATCATAACCCTAAATCCTTTTTGTTTTTATTAATTTCCAAGTTATTTGCAATTGAGTTGTTTTCAAAAAAAGTACTTTTGAAAATAAGTTGTTTCTACCTAAGTTCTTTTTCACTTAAGTTTGTTTCTCCCAAACTATTCGATTGCTCTACTTTACAACAATATAATAGAAATCAGTTATTAACTATTGGTCATTGTGGTTCGATATATTTTTTACTACTCTAACATAGTCGCACGCTTGCAACCGTGTCAAGTTTTTGGCGTCGTTCTCGCAGACCAATTGCATTGATATTGAAATTCTATAGAGTTTTTATTTTTCTTTTTGTTTATGCAAAGAGCAGGCCCTGCAGACAATTTGGTCGAACCTATTGACGAGATCGAGCGTTTCCTGCGAGAAAGACTCCAAGCTCGAAGAAGATTAATAATGGTTGCACCTGTTGTTGATATGAAACCATTGAAGGATTATGCAGCTCCTACAAAAGAGGAACCACATTGCAGTATTGTGCATATGCCTATCAAAGTGACTAATTTCAAATTAAAGCCTTCATTGATAGGTATGGTCTAACAGAATCAACTTTCAGGCTTGCCTTAAGAAAACCTAAATCTGCATTGGTCTATCTTTGTGGATAATTGTGGCACAGTTAGGCAAACAGTGTTGATCAGAATGATATACGTTTAAGGTTTTCTCCTTCTCTTTGAGCGATCGAGCAAGGGCTTGGCTCAAATCCTTGCCCTTCAATTCTATTACTTCTTGGACACAGATGAAAGTTGTTTTTCTCGCCTAGTATTTTCCTCCAAGCAAGACAGGCCAAGTTAGGAATGAGATAAATAATTTCAAACAAAATGATGGAGAATCCTTGTTTGATGCATGGGAACGCTTTAAAGATTTGTTAAGGATTTTCCCTTTTCATGGGCTTGAGAAGTGAATGGTAATTCATACTTTCTACAATGGTCTCTTTTACTCTACAAGAATGACCCTTGATGCAGCTTCTGGAGGGGCTCTGATGAATAGCCCTCAAGATGCGGCTTATAATCTCATAGAAGAAATGGCCAAGAACCATCATTCTTGGGGAAGTAGACGACAATTTTCCAGAAAAGCAACCACTAAAATTGGGGGAATGCATGAAGTGAGTGTTTTTGACCACATGAATGCAAAGGTTGATGCACTTTCTAAAAAAATTGACGTATTGAGCATTACATCTGCCACTCCTACTCTTGTTGTTGTTGTTTCCCTACTCCTCTAAACTGTGAAATCTCTTAAGTGAATGGTCACATTGCTAAATATTTACAAATGATTCTAGTAGGAGGATCTAATCAAGAAAGTGTTAATTACTTGAACAATCAGAGGAATAATCCTTATTCAAACACCTATAACCCAGGTTGGAAAAATCAACCCAATTTTTCCTACAAAAACAACCAACCACAATAAGTTACAGCACCACCAGGTTTTCAAGATATCACCCCTCAAAAGAAGTCTAATCTTTAATTGATGATGGAAAACTTTATTGTGACTCAAGCTCGCAAAAATGAAGATTTCAAAAATCAAAACCTTCACACCAATGAAGTACTCAGGCGGTTAAATACAAAAATTGAAGGCATTGTCACTCATTCTAAAATGCTGGAAACACAAACCTCCTAGGTTTCTCAACAACAAGCATCATCCTCCATTCTATCGGGAGCTTTCCCGAGCCAACCTGAGCAAAATCCTAGGGGTTAGTTGAATGCCATAATCATTTTGGGTGTTGATCAGGTTAACAGAGTTAAGAAGAAAGAAGTTAATGCTACTGAGAATTATAGGAAAAGAATTAACAAGCTCAAGAAGGAAGGTTATGAGGTTCATGGGAGGAAAGCATGTAAGATTAGGGAATAATTACACTGCAAGAACCCCGTAGAGTTACTAAAGAAGCTCCACAACCACATTCCTCTTTCTGAGTTCCAATCTTGGATATCCTCTCTTCTGGGAACTATGAGAACCATTATCTCCAAGAAAAGAATGAAGAAACATGGGATTATAAACCTAACTACTATGTGTAGCACCTTGATACAAAACAGAATCTAACCTAAGCTGGAAGACCCTGGGGACTTTTTGATTCCTTGTGAGATTGGTGCTATAAAAGCTGAGAAGGCTCTTTGTGATCTTGGCGCAGGCGTCAATATGCTCCCCATCACTTTCTATAGGAAGCTTCACTTAGGAGAACTGAAACCCCGCGTCGTGTCACTATAACTTGCCAATGGATCATTCAAGAAATTATTAAGGCTTCTCGAGGATGTCCCTATTAAATTTATAAGCCTTTGCTTTCATGCAAATTTTGTAGTGATGGATATAAATGAGAACCTTTCACAGCCACATCAGAGACGATCATTTATGTCAAAGAAGGAATGATAACCTTTAAGTTAGGAGAAAATAAGATAGGATTCTTTATCCCTGGTGATCAGACCCTCTCTGACGCTCTAAAACCTTGTCAATACCTTAGCCTTATCCGACAGGATGTCACATGGAGGAAAAATGAAAAGAAGGGAAGAGAAAAAGAAAAAGCTACTGAAAAAATGAGTACAGGAAAGAATGTCCACAAAGAGAGAAAAGGATTGGATGTTTGGCATGGGTAAAAAGGATTGGATGGAAACCAAGCCAACTAGCAAGAAAACAACAAATCTGACTTTGAAGGAAGAACCATCTTGAGTGGGAACAATTAAAGACCGTCGAGCCATGTGATGTTAAACGAAGCGCTTAGTGGGAGGCAACCCATTATTTTTATACTAATAATTTTCTTGTTTGTTTTATTTTCAGTTAATAAACATGTACTCACAAAGGAAGGCATCCTAAGTTGTTAATAATCTGAGAAGGATGAGCACAGGAAATCAAATCCATAAAAAATTGAGTCAAAAACTAAGAAAATGAAAATTTTGGTAGAGAAACCAAAGGCGCGTTACAAGCGTCTGTAACAGGCGTTATAGGTCGTAACAACACCTAGACTCCCTTCACCTCCTATAGTACAATTATCCTCGAGCTGTTATGGCCGACTGTAACATGCATTACGACCCGTAACCGCCCCCAACGTAAAAATTCAAATTTATTTTGAAGTTTTCAATCTTTTTGCCGCCTCTACCTCCTCGACGAGGCTCTCTCTGAGTTCCCCACACTTTCTCTTACTAAAACATTGAGGTCAATGTTTGGTTTAAGTTTGGGGAGGGAAATGGGGGGGGGGGGGGGGATTTACCTGCTTTACTTTTATTTGTGTTAGTTTATTTTATTTACTTCTGCTTTTACTTTCATAAAACCACTTCTTGAATTTTTCCCGAATTATGACCCGTGAAATTTTTCAAAAGAGTTTTGACTGTGAAGCAACTTAAAAGTATATATAGTTAGAGGGATGAAAGGTTGAGGTTAGGACAACCAGAAAAGCTTGATAAAAATGGTTTTTCTTGAACACCATGAGTTTCCCCAAAAGTGACAAGAGTCTGACATGTAGAATTGTACCATAGTGCTTAAACCCTGAGAAGTACCCCTCAATTAGTTTAATTTGACAGTCGGACATAAATTAGATTTGCATGTATGATTGATTAAGAAACAAAGAGAAAAAATGTATCAAAAAGATGAAAAGGCGGTAAAAGGCAACCAAAAGAAGTTGATCCCCAACGTCGTCCTAAGCAAAGGAAAATACATAAACTTGCAAAAGTTTTGAAATTTTCATCAACACCAATTAGATGAAAAGGCGGTAAAAGGAAACAAAACCTCTAAGTCGGGTAACCCTCATCCGCTTATTCAGCCCAACAGTGGTTGAACCCCAAATGGAGTCCTAAATAAAGGACATTATACAAACTTGAAAAGGTTTTGAAAATCTCATCGATGGATAATAAATGTTGCATAAATGAAAAAAATTCTCAATTGACCTTGTGCATGCGATGATTATCATATACTTTCATTGTCTTAAATTGATTGTCCGAATGAAAGGGGAGAAAAATCAGAGACGAGACTTAAGTATATAGTCAGAGAGGTGTCTGAGTAAGAAATCTTGGGGCCATAGTTTCACCTTGGTTTGTGTTCTTATAAAGACTCTTGGAGTTGGATTAGTACCATAAGAACTAACCCTTATCATTTTTGAAGAAAAGCTCAAGTATGAGTACCAGTTTGCTTTCTTTTTCATGAACTCTTTCTTTAGATACTTGCTTGGTCCAAAAATCTGCTTTGCGAGCTATGTTGCTTGAGGACAAACAACGATTTAAGTTTGGGTGAATTTTATAAGTGT